CCAGCCCTGGCACCAGCAGGCCTGACACGCCCACCTGTGGCCTGGGCAGTGAGTAACACACACCGTGACATCTGGATCAATGGTGACACACAGGGGGACAGACCCAGCAGCACACAATGCCAGATATGCGCAGACCCATGGTGACAGACACCCAGACACATCCACAGTAACAGACACACAGAACACAGTAACAGGGACACACTGTAACAGACACAGTGAGAGCCACACAGTGAGAGCCACACAGAACACCATGACAGGTAACCGTGTTGTTAGATACAGAGACACAGTGACAAAACACAAGTGACAGACACAGATACGGTGACAGGCACCCAAGACAATGACAGTGACAGACACACATACAGTGACAAAACACAAATATAGTGACAGAGAACACAGGACAGACACACATACACAGTGACACAAACACAGTGACAGACACACAAAGGGCAATGACAGACAGTGACAGACTTGGACACAGAGCCATACAAGCACACACACTAACACACCGAGCAGAGACACATCACAGAGTAGCACCGGAGCCTGCAGGTACAATGACACGGATACAGTGACAGCAAGATACTCAAGAGATCACCAGAGCCAGTGACAAACACACTGACACGGACACACACACACTGCTAAATGGCCCGGACTGCTGGCTTCTGGGGGTGCCACCTTCCTCCTCCCATAGCAGGTTATGGCAGGAAGTAGGGGTGACTTTGAGGGAAGACATGGGACCCCAGGACCCCACCGTGTTATTGCCACCCCACCAAGCCTCTGGAATAGCGTGGAGGTTAAGGACTCTGGGACAGAAGGCCGGAGTTCAAATCCCAGCTCCCCCACTCAGTATCTCTGTGGCCCTCACTATCTATCTCTTCACCTCTTTGTGCCTCAGTTCCACCAACAATAAAATGGTGGGGGGAGGCCTGAGTGAACTGATTCATGTAAGGCGTTCCCATGATGCTGAACTCGTGGGAAGCACTACTAGCTATTAACACGGTTGTTATTGTTCTTGTTGGGTGCCGTCGGGTGGATTCTGATTCATAGTGACCCCGTGTGACAGAGTGGAACTGCCTCATAGGGTTTCCTAGGCTGAAATCTTTATGGGAGCAGATCGCCAGGTCTTTCTCCCGCGGATCCCCTGGGTGGATTTGAACTGACAACCTTTCAGTTACCAGCTGGGCGCTTAACCATTGTGCCACTAGGGTTCCTTAGCTATTAATATTAATATTATCATTATCATCTAGGGCCTTCCCATGCAGACAGCCCTCTGCCCATAGCTGGGATCCTGACCTGGCCCTTCCTTGGGCCATGTCACCTCAGGCCCACAGGCTGTGTCCATTTCCCTCTGTTCCAGCCCAGGCCTCCCCAGGTGTCCCCATGCTGCCCCTGCATCCCTGATCCCTGGCGTCCCCATGTCTGTCCATGCATCCCACGTCTGACCGTGGTACTTTTCCACGCTGGACGGGAGCCGGCTGTCCCTGGGGTGGGGGTCACACCTGCCCACACCCGCCCAGCTGGTGGCCACCAGACACCCCGATGGATGGCCCCACCCTCCCGCCAGGACCCTACAACAACACCCCGCCCCTCTGGCCACCTGAGGTCCCCACTGGGGCGGCCTGAGGCCCGGGTCTGGGGACAGGAAGCCCCAGGCCTGGCTGCCCTGAAAGCCTCTTTCAGCCTGGGCCTCCTCCTGCCACCACCGACTCCTCCCGCGGAATAATATTTGGGCTGTTGGCCGGGGGGCGGGGGCCAGATCCGGAGGCCGCCTGGGAGAAGCCAGAAACCGCAGGGCTTCCTGCCTCGGGCCGCCTGACTCTGGGAGAGACCCCCAGGCCCGAGGGAGGGGGGCGGGCACCCAGGGAGACTGAAGGCCTTTCTCTCGGCCCCAGTTGTTTTTTCCAGGAACCAGAAGGAATTCCCCGGCCTGCCCAGGACAGCGAGGCTGGTGGGACGGCTGACAAGCAGCCAGCGCGGCAGGGGGCGGGGGTGACACGCAGCCGGGCAAGGCGGGCACAGCGACAGAAATAGAGGGCCCAGCGGCCTGTGGTGGCAGGTACAGGCGGAAACTCGGGGGAGCCGGAGAGGGAGGGAGGCCAGAGAGAGCAGGGAGAGACCAGAGATCCAAGCAAGGAGGGGAGACAGACCCCAAGAGAGGAAAAGACCGAGACCCCAAGAGAAGGAGGCAGAGTCCCAGAGAAAGGGAGAGACAGAGTCAAAGGAACAGAAACAATCAGAGACACACAGAGAGGCCAAGACTCAGAGGCTGCGAGGACAACCGTCTGACAGAGAACGATCGAGCATTGTAGTCAAAGAAACCAACGGGCAGAGAGAAAGGCACCGGAGAGGGTCAGGGACACAGTGACACAGACAGAGATGACATTATGAGATAAGCAGATAGACAGATATGTGGAAACTTCGAGAGACAGCACACACATCACCCATACCACCCCACACACACACCACACATCGCAGCACACGCACGTCACACACACACACCACACCACACACACATCACAACACACACCACACACACATCACGACACACACCACACACACATCACACACCACACACACATCACGCACACATTTGTCACCCACACCACACCACACACACATCACACGCCACACACACCTCACACACACCACACACACCACATACATATCACATACACACCACATACAACACACACACATCACACACATAACACAGACACCACACACATCACATACACACATACCATATACACACACCACAAACACACATCACATATACCACACACATATACACACACATCACACACACACACATATACACACACTAAACACATATACACACACAGGTGGATAAGCAAAGTCTTTGGTCTTTGAATGAATGAATGGCTCGCTGAATAAAGGAATGAATGAGTGGCTAAAGAGGTAACGACCCAGAAGGCAAAGGCAAAGCGAGTATTCCCATCTCCATCCTCCACCCAACCCACACCAAAGAGACAGTAACGGCATGGCCAACAATATCAGACCAGCCCTGCCCACCTGCTCCTGCCACACTGAAAGGCCTTGGCCCAGCCCCTTCCCATTCCAGGCTTCAGTTTCCAGTCTGTGAAATAAGGGGGGTGAAGTACACAGCTGTGTCTCCTAGAGAGCCACTCCCTCAGAACACCTGGGAGACAGAGACTCTGACTCAGAGTCTAGGGCAGGGAGAGACCAGAGGAACAGAGACACCCAGGTCCCTGCCCCTAGACCCCCCTCCCCACACACCCACCCCCAAGAGAGACAGATACCCTCTAGGGTGGGCAGACCCTCCACACACACTCACATATAAGCACAAAAGTGGCAGACACACAGCAAAAATGGGCACTGCACACACACACACACACACACACAGACATACTTTGTCATAAGCGCACAGACGTACGTTGACTCCCAGAGATACACACAAGACACACAATGACAGGCAGACCCACAACCTGGATGCATACTCTTTGAGGCTGTGGGTGTCCAGACAAACGGACATACAGAGACACACTCCTAATCATGTGAGACCCAAAAGGGACCCAGAGATCAGTGTCCAAAGAGAACCACAAACACAAAACAATGAAGACACATACACAAGATCTGATATCCCAAGACACCCACGTAAGCACACACCCAGAGGTTGAACAGACACACAAAACCAGAGACTGAAGTCCTCCTCGCACAATTGAGGGATACAAACAACAGGCAACACTTTGCGGTAGACCACAGGGACCCCAGCGGGTATAGTGATATCCTGTGACCCACAGAGGCCCTCACAACACACACAAACACACACTTGGACAGGCAGACACACAGCACATGGCATTACACACACCCACATAAACACACTATCAATGCCAACACACACACTGTCTCCAGTTTTTTGATTAACACCTATCTGTCCCTTTCCCCTCTGTCCAGCTTATTCAAAAATTGAATAACCCCCAGGCTCCCTGATACTCAGAGGGATTGACTGGAGGTGTGTGTCTGGGAAGTGGGGGTTGGGAGATGGCCTTGGTCACCACAGAGCCACCTCCCCCTACTGCCCTGGCCCCACACTGCGGGGGCTGCTATCTTTGAACAAACTGTCCTTGGGGTCAGGGACAGCAAAGGGCCAAAGGTCAGGTCGATGCCTCTCCCGCCCCCTCCCCCAGAGCTCTTAGGGGCAGGAAGGAGAGGGGACAGGGGAACAGAAACTCAGGTGTTCAAGCCCCACAGGGCCCATCGCCAAGGAAAAGAGACATGCAGAAAGAGGCAGGAACGGTGCCTTTAATCGTCAAATACAGCCAGTATCCCGCTTCCCAGGCAAGAACCAGACTTCAGTAGAAATTCCCCACTCCCTAACCAGCCCCTTCTGGTTTCTTCCGGACCAGAGGAGGGGGATGGGCTCCAGAAAAAACCAAGGAGTATTCCCATCTCCATCCCCTACCCAACCCACACCAAAGAGATAGTACCAGCATGGCCAACACAGGGACTGTGGTGGCTATCATGGTGCATAATAGTCCACTGATACATCAGCCAGCCAATATGGTGGCCATCATAGCGCCCTATGGGCCAAAAGAGATGTTAAACAAAATGGTGGCCAATTTGGCACCTACTGTGCCAAGGAGTCTACCAAGAAAGAAGCCATCACAGCACCCAAAGGGCCAAACAAAGAAGATGGAATTGAAATGGTATCACCATCACACTCAAAGTGTCAGCCAAAAAGATGGCCATCACAGCACTCAGTGGACCAACCAAGATTATCAGCCTAGACGGTGGCCATCAAGCACCCAATGGATCAACCAATAATATCAATCAACATGGCGGTCTTCACGGTACCCAATGGGCCGACCAAGATTGTGGCAATGGTGGTCATCACAGTACCCCATGGATCAACAGGATGCCTTCAGATGGCAGTCATCACAGCTAGCAGTAGACCAACCAAGATGTTAACTGGTGGGACAAGCAAAAGTGTCAACCAGGAGAATCAGGCCCCGAGAGCCTGATGGTGTGAGCTACAGCCATACCCCACCCACCATGCTCCCACCTCCCCTGCTAGGATGCATTAAGCAGAGAGCGGGAATAGAGGCCCTGGTAGTAGACCCCAGGCTCCCCACCTTCAGCCCCATAGCCCCCAAACCCCATGTCCAGTTTGGGAGGCGCTGGTGTCTGTTCCGACATCAGGTTGTTGATGGAGAAAGGGTGGTTGAAGTTGTAGGGTACGTCCAACTTCAGCTCCCCTGGGAGCTCCAGGCCAGTGAAGTAGGGTGTGGAGGAAGTGGGTGAGCCACAGTCCAAAGCCCCCACATCTTCCCCACCCTGGGCCTCAGGCTCAGGGGGTGGAAGGTGGGGCTGGGGTGGCGGGGAGGCAACAGTGGCAGCAGTGGTGGTGGTGGTGGTGGCGGTGGCAGACACTGTGCCGTTCCTCCCGGTGGAGGTCCCACTGCCCCCTTTCTTGACCTTCTCCTCCAGCTTGAAGCGCTTCTGGCGGCGCAGGTAGCAGCCATTCTCGAACATGTTCCCTGAGCTGGGGTGCAGAGCCCAGTAGGAGCCCTTGCCTGGCTTGTCCGGGGAGCGTGCCACCTTGACGAAGCAGTCGTTGAAGGACAGTGAGTGGCGGATGGAGTTCTGCCAGCGCTGCTGGTTCTCCCGGTAGTAGGGGAAGAGGTCCATGATCCACTGGTAGATCTCGCTCAGCGTCAGCATCTTGCCCGGCGCCTGCTGGATGGCCATGGTGATGAGCGAGATGTAGGAATAGGGTGGCTTGGCATGGGCCAGGGGCCGTCGGTACCCTTTCGGCAGCTCCTTCCCATGTACCAGCCCCAGGCCTGGGCCCCCATACCCTGAGCTGCTGCCCCCGCTGTTGCTGGCACCCAGGCCTGGGAAGGTGGGCCCCAGGGAGGCTGCAGGGGCTGGGGGTGCCAGGGGTCCAGAGGGCAATGGGGAGGCAGGGAGCCCCCCCGGGGGGTAGGGAGTGCTCAGAGGGTTCAGGGTCATGTAGGAGTTTAGGGGGGCCATGGTGGGCACTGGGGTCACCGGGGAGTAGACCTGCATGGAGAGAAAGAGAGATGGTGAGGGGTCAGTGGGTCTCCATCTGCTGGTTAGTAAAGGGTCGCTGATGTCCATTTGTCTGTCCGTCTTGCCTCTTTCTACCAGTCCCTTCCATCATTAACTCTCTCTGTGGATACCAAAATCAAACCCAAACCTGTTGGCATCAAGTCAATTCTGACTCATAGCGACCCTACAGGACAGAGTATATCTGTCCCATAGGGTTTCCAAGGCTGTAATCTTTTCAGAAGCAGACTGCCACATCTTTCTCCCGTGGAGTGGCTGGTGGGTTTGAACCACCAACTTTTCAGTTAGCAGCGGGGTGCTAAACCACTGCACCACCAGGACTCCTCCTCTCCGTAGAAAGCTGTCTCTTAATGTCTCTCTTCCCACTTCCCTGTCCTCCCTCCCCTGAGCGCTCATGCCCGCAAGCTCCATCTTTAAACGGTTCTCAAAGTGTGGTCCAGGAAAACTTGAGGAGTCTCCAAGACCCCTTCAGGGTGTCCACGACATCAAAAGGGGGCAGTGGTGGTTCAGTGGTAGAATTCTCACCTTCCATGCAGAAGACCCAGGTTCTATTCCTGGCCATGTCACCTTAAGCGCAGCCACCACCCATCTGTCAGTGGAGGTGTGCGTGTTGTTATGATGCTGAACAGGTTTCAGCAGAGCTTCCAGACTGATAGACTAATAAGAAAGGCTTGGCAATCTACTTCCAAAACTCAGCCAGTGTAAACCCTACAGATCATGACAGTCTGATCCTGTTGTGCCTGGGGTCACCATGAGTCAGCCAACCTGATGGCAACTAACAGCAACAACAAGGGGATCAAAACCATTTTCACGCTTGTTTTTGCCTTTTGCAGTCTGTCATGGGCATACAGTGGAGTTTTACAGAGCTGCATGACATGTGATATCGTAATAGACCGAAAGCAGAAGCAGCTATGAGAATCCAGCGTCTCCTTTTGATCTGGACATTAAAGAGATTTGCAAAAATATAAAACAATGCCACTCTTCTCTCTACAATTTTTGGAAATACAGTTATTTCAATAAAAACGTGTTATGTATATAAGTTATTGCTATTTTAAAACGAAAATTGATATGTATTTTTAAATTTTCTGTTTTAATTCCCAATATGGTATACACAGGTAGTCCCCGACTTACAACGGGGTTCAGTTCCGACACCTCTGTCGTGAGTTGGTTGTGACGTAAGTCGAATACCTCAAATTTTTTTTTTTAAGTTTTCATTATTATTGCCTTTTATTATCAGTATTTTTATAAATCCGATCTTTATTTGTCTTTGGGGGTTGGAAACATTACATATAAACTTGCAGATATGATGACATCAGCAAATTATGTGCTGCAACTCTGTATGTATATAGTACCTATTACTAATGATAAACTGTCCAAAAAAAAAGGAAGGTTCTAAGTGCGGTTCGTCATAACTCAAATACGTTGTAAGCTGGGGACTACCTGTATCAATAGACATAATCCCCATCAACAAAAACTTTTTGGGATCCTCAATCACTTTTAAGACGGTGAAAAGGTCCTGAGACCTGAAAAAAATGAGAACTTCTGATCTATCTAATTATCTAATCTACATATATGTATAGCTGTCTATCAATCCTTTAGGTAAAAAATATTACTTTTTTTTTAAAGTCAAAAGTATTTGAGTAACAGAATTCATGTGTTTCAACCTAATATATATCATCTATTTACCATCTATCACCAAATCTAAGACATCATGTTTGTAAAGTGCACTGTTCTTTTACACCAAAGACACAAGGAAAGTATTAGCCCAAGAGACAGAAAGGGCCACATAAACCAGAGACTTCATCAGCCTGAGACCAGAAGAACT